GCGACAATAAAGTGGAGCCTCCGGTGTTAAGAGCTGCTACAAAGTAACGGCTATTGAAAACTAAGAGGACTTTCTGTGTACTTTAGTTACAGTGATCTTTGGAATGTGTAACTCAGTGAGACTGTCGTGGTTATTTGTTTAGTTACGAGTGAAGTTTCCAACAAATCCAGTTAGCAATCCAAACACGGGACAGTTCTATGTGTAGGCAGTGTATGTGTTTGTGTGTGTGGAATATTATTTCCTGCTGATTGTAACACTCGACACGAGGGTCACAGTTGAAGCATACCACATCGAATTGCGAATGCAGTCATCAGATACCATTGAAAATTATAGGCGCCAACCAGACATACCCTGCTACTCGTAAATTAGTGATCAAATACAAACGTATGGATATCATCAATGTGTAGGTGTAGCGTAGCTACTGGCCTTGTGTGATTACGAGCGCTTGTTAGGTTTACCTGATACTTATTCGCAGTGGGAGGAAATCCTTGACAGATCTGTCAGTATGACAGAGTGCGTAAATCAAATGCATAATGAGGAGCTTCATAACTTTTACTCTTCTCCAAGTGTAATTAGAATGATTAGGTCAAGGAGGATAAGATGAGCAGGGTATATAGCACGAATGGAGGAGAAGAGGAATGCATATGGGATATTGATACGAAAGCCAGAAGGAAAGAGACTACTGGGAAAACTAAGACGTAGGAGAATGGACAATATTAAAATGGATCTTAGAGAGATATGATGGGATGGTATGGACTAGATCGATCTGGCTCAGGATAGGGACCGATGCAGGGGCATTGTGAGCACAGTAATGAACCTTCGAGTTTCATAAAACTCTGGGGAATTCTTGAGTAGCTGCACAATTTATGGTTTCTCAAGAGAGCTTAGCTCCACGAGTGAATGAAACAAATCAAATCTGAACATGTATCAAACCTGAAATGGATTTGAACTCACGCCCATTAATTTATGGAAATCATCTGAGATTCATACAGCAGGTGACCAACTACGCTACCACGTGACAGAATTAATTATTCCTTGAGACCTCACTTCTCAGCCAGTGAACCGCCAAGTCCTAGGGTGGGGCGCCCATCACTGGTTGAGAAACACTGCTTTAGAGCCATGTTGTTTGTTCAGTGTTTGCTAAAAATAACGTAAATTGGTTCGGCCTTTATTAAAATGCACCGTCACATAAGCACTATGCTATCATAAGCCTGTCTTCTATTGTAAAATAAATAAATTAGATCGTACAGTGTTGCTATAATTGGTTCTGCGCTGATATTAGAACATAAATAAAAACCATGACCGCTAAACACTCTCCTGTGACGTCCGATTCTGTTCATGTTACTTGGCGCGCAGTCTAATAAATTAAATTCTGTTTTCCTGCGAGTTTCGTGTCCACTTTCCCGTTACGAGGCAGCGGTGTCTGCAGTCGCGCGCCGAGAGAAATGCCATTGCTTGAATTCCGCATCGAGTTAATATTAAAGCTACGAATTGCTTTCATATTTCGTTCCACGAATTTATCATACACGAAATTCCGATATGTGCTGTGCTTTGTCGTGTTTTAACAGTGTTCACGCAACTGATCGAGCCAGATAATTCTACTTCTACAGAACTGGTATCATATTGTGACATGACGCCTCAAAGATGGAACACTTCATTGCTAGGCGACATATTCCTTCCGAAATGAACATGCATGCAACAATAGAAGAACCCATTTCTAAGCAACGGATCGGTAAACACACAATAGGGGTATTGTTGGAAAACGTGTTTTCTGTGGGGGACGTCCCGAAGCTAGATAATGAGGATCTCACGCAGCTCCTCCACTGTAGCCCTGCGAATCGTAGGAAGCAACGAAAAGGGAACGCAGTGTCTGGGGGTATAACCTGGCCACCTTGTTCCTGGGGTGTATAAACACGTGGACTTGGCCCTCAAGGTTAGGGGAGTCTGGAGTCTCATACAGTAAAATATGATCATGAGTTCCGCAGGACACGTACCTGAGAATTACTGCACTGGCGAGGACCGGCAGTAATTTTAAACGACAGACCAATCCTGTCGTCAGAGAGAGTGTTATATAAGGGCTATGACCACAAGTGTTCAGTTGAAGAAAAGAATTGCTGGTCGTAATGATTATCGCCAAGACGAACTGATTGGCGACAAACCGCCAGACGTAAAGAACCTCTGACTCTGAGAGATAGAATTGAATGAGTCTTCAGAGTCGGCAGTCGCAGATGTTAGAAAAGAGAAGAGTTAGTGTGGTTTGTGATGTGTAATGACTAGTTGAGTGTATAACTGTGCAATAAATCGGGTCACCAGTCGAAAACCCGTCTATAAGTCACACACACCCCCTAAATACGTGACAGTATTATTTATTTGCGTTTGCGGTTTATCCAGTATCTGTAGAGTGCGGAATGGCTGGATGAGAGTGACATATATATTGCAAGGATCATGACATTTGCCTCAGTGGATGCAACGAAATACAACAAAACCCTGAGTCAGAAAAGTTGGTGACCTGGCCAGATTTCGAACCGAGCACCTCCCGAGTACAAAGCATATGCGTTATCGCTTAAGTCAACTTGTTCAGCTCATGACTTATCCCGTTACATATTTTGAATCACATTTCATGTGACTTCATTGTCGACCAAAACACTAAGAGAGATGCATAAATTTATTATCGTTGTTCTATAGACTTACAGAGATATTGGGTTTTCGGACTTTATCCATCGTCCTGGTTTTAAGATCACTAAGAAAAACACGACGTTTCAGGAACTTGATCTGTTTGCGTCCTCAGGTGAGGAAAACACCTATTCTGTTCTAACGGACCCAACAGAATAGGTGTTTTCCTCACCTGAGGACGGAAACAGATCCAGTTTCCGAAACGTCGTATTTTTCTTAGTTATCTTCAAACCAGGACGATGGTTAAAGGCCGAAAACCCAATATCTCTGTGTATTATACACCATCGTCAGAATCTTATAATAACTATTTTATAGACTTGTTGTGATATACTTGAACCCAAAAATATTTCAAAGTTGTGAAGCAAAGGGCAGCAATTATGCAGCACAGAATTGTTTTGTATCGGTTATACCGAGCAAGGAAAGACCCGTTTTAGAGACACCGCTACCCAATAATTTGCGGAACTAGCTAACTGAATGTATCATTTCTGTGCAGTTTTTAATGTTAATATTTTCTATATAAGATTTGAGGTTTTCACGGCGGTAGCTGTGAAGAAAGCAGTCTTCTGGGATGTGGCACCGTGTAGATGTGGTATTAACTGACGTTTTGGAGGAACGTATCACCTCCCTCTTCAGGGTAGAAGCAAAAATAAGAAAATCCGCAAGCGAAGAGACTGCGAGAGCTTGCGGATTTTCTTATTTTTCCTTCTAACCTGAAGATGGAGGCGATAGGTTCCTCCGAAACGTCAGTTAATACCACATCTACACGGTGCAACATCCCGTAAGAATGCTTTCTTCTTAATATTTTCATACAACATACCGCCCAGGAGGTCAGTGTGTGACTGCCCGACTGTTTTCGAAAGAAGGAACCTTTAATTTTTAAATTAGAGATGAATGAAATTTTGATGAGACGAGACCAATATACGGCGTTGTGATAATCATTCAGCATTTAATATTCACTTTCAAAAAACTGTCACTTATATTGATCGACAAGCATGAAGGGTGAGAGAGAGGGGGGGACTAGTAGAGGAGAAGGTGAAAAGGAAAAATCGTGGGAGAAGTGAGAGGCACTATATTTTCTTGGGGGCGGTGGATGAAAATTATCGCCCTTTTCCGGTGTTGCTAGACTTCATTCGTTAATTCTTCTGGTAAGAGTACTAAGATATAAGTAATCTTTAAGAATTCCGTTTTAAGAGAGATGAAAATATATTTCACCCCTTCGTAAGCCTTTGTGGTGTGTGAATGATGCTTAATTAATTAAACACGAGATAATTTAATTATTAACTTATATCTTTCTGAGGGTGTATGAGAACAAGGTTCTGGGAAGAGTACTGGAACCGAAGTGAGAGAGAGAGAACTGCATGATGAGGAGCTTCATAACTTTTACTCTTCTCCAAGTATAATTAGAATGATCAAGTCAAGGAGGATGACATGGGCAGGGCATGTAGCACGAATGGGTGGAGAAGAGGAATGAATATAGGATATTGGTGGGTAAACCAGAAGGAAAGAGACCACTAAGATGACCAAGATGTAGGTTGGATTGTAATAGTGAGATGTATCTTAGTGACATAGGATTGGGTGTTATAGATTAGATTCATCTGGCTCAGAATAGGGACCAGGGGGGGGGCTCTTGTGAACATTTATGTTCCATAAAAATATTGGGAAACTCTTGAATAGCTACGCAACTGGCAGCTTCTCAGTTAGGGCTCAGTTTCGAGGATTTGGTTAGTTGCTTATGTCTCAGATAATAAATTACATCTCCATTACAAAAATAAATTGGTTGTTTCATAGGAATGCAGTCGCTGTTTATTCTGACTACATGATATCCACAAATAAACCGTTTGGACTAAGAGTTTTTCATGTTAGAGTAGCCGACGCCGTTGTTTTGCTTTAAGTGATTAATTTCATTACACATCGTCGCCGTAGAACGTAATTCATTATCGCTCGTGGGAGGAAGTTTCTAGTTAATTAAATCGAACAATTAACAGTTTTCCTTTTGGCCACGAGTTCCACAGTCTGCAATAGAATCGCATGCTCTGCTACCACTTGTGCCGCCTCTTCCTCTGCTACCAGTTGTGCCGTCTGTCCGGTCTGCTACCACAGCACCGCCACTCTCACTGGCACCTTTCGGCTCCGTCTACCTTTCCTCAATCGGAGGGGGAAACGTTGCTCCGTCATACGGCTCTCGTGCTGTGCTCGCACGCTCCCTAAGTTAGAGTAAGGGATCCAAGCTAGCAGCGAAGTAAATGTAGTTACAAATGATGGCAATCAGTATATTAACAAATAACAGAATTTACTCTTTGTGTTACGTGTTACTCTTTGTGTTGCAGGTGTCTTTCTTCTCAACGAGCCCTGAACTGAGCAACAAACAGAGGTTCGAGTTTTTCTCGCGGACCATTCCTTCTGATCATTACCAAGTGAAGGCTATGGTTGATATTGTTAGGAGAATGGGATGGAGTTACGTGTCCATTATTTACGAAGAATCTAACTATGGACTCAAGGTCAGTGCTTAGAGATTTGATGTTCTTCTTTTTATTGCTAGTGGAGTGGGACTAAGTCCCTTGTACTGCGGCCACTTCTGGCCTACTGTACCAGCCCCAGATGATAGGTGAGGGTGATTGTGGAGCAATAGGTGGAATGAAGATTGGCAGGGGAAACCGAAGTACTCGGAGAAAACCTGCCCCAGCGCCATTTTGTCCACAACAAATCCGACTTGACCAGACCCGAGATCGAACCCGGCCTGCCGCGGTGGGAAGCCAGTGACTAACCGCTTGAGCTATGGCGCGGCCTTTGATGTTCTCGTTACATCGAAGTTTCGGCATGGTGCGTCCCGAAGGAACATATTGCTGTGTAGAAATGTTGGCAGTCACCTCTCAAAATACGTGGTGTCATAATCGAAAACATTATGACGTGTGGGCTCATTGCTAGGGAACGCGTTGACATACACGTTTCCATGGAGACAGATTCTTCGAAACCAACTCGTTACAGAACACGTTTCCGTCTACAAAAACATTCAACAGGTATTTCCTAGGATGCAGATACGTTATATCCAATCAGAATAGAGCGAGTCTTAGACAGTCGTTTTTTTGTGAGTTATTGTAAATAATTCTTATTACGAGAGGTTGTAAAACAGACTTAATAAATCCAATGACCCAACCCAAAACCCGTTATTATTAGTCACGGAGCCATAAACACGTGACAACCTGACAGGAATATTAGAAGCTATGTTTTCTCTATAGTTTCATTAAAGTGTGTATTCATTCTAAGGAAACTAGAATTCATTGCTGTGAAGATTTCCTGATATTCTGATAGTAATTACTGCTAATTTGTCCGGAATACAATATTATAACTTCTTGGTGTTACAAATTCTTAGTTTTCCCGTATAAATCAACACGAATGCCTTAATCATATGAATTGTTTCCTTCCTCTTCGCTCCTACTTTTTAGCACAGGGCTGATTTCTCAGTTTCATTGATCATTTTTACAGACCGTAGGACACCTTGGGCGGGTGATACACTCGTCTCAAAGCCTCTAACTAAACACAGGACAACACACACACACAGAATAAACGCATACAGACACCAAACATCCATTCCTCGAATGGGATTCGAACCCACGATCCCGGCTTCAGAGCGAGTGAAGACAGTACATGACTTAGATCGCTCGGCTACCGTGACCGGCTAATCATAGGAATAATAGAGCGATATATCTGTGCTTGGCATTGTATAAGTCCTTGGCATTGCGAATTTTTGGTTTTCCCGGTAAATCATTGCGAATTTGTCCGTTCTAGGAATGTTATAACTGATCACATTACAAATTCTTGACTTTCTCTTGTAAATAACTAGGAATTTGAAGAATGCCATCTTCTGGGTTGTGGCGCCGATTAGATATTTTGTTCTTATACCCGGAAGATGGAGGCGATACGTTCCTCCGAAACGTCAGTTAACGAAATATCTACACGACGCCACATCCCAGAAGACCGGATTCTTCATATTCACCGCCGTGAAAACCCCAGATCTTACAGCTACTAATTTGCCCATTCTAGGAATACTTCAGATCACGGATCTTATAAAGCCCAGATTTTGTCCTAGAAACCAGTAAGAATGTGTTAAAATTCTAGAATTCTTTGATGTTTTAACAATTTTTTATTTTCCCTTATAAAATCACTAAAGATGTGTCAGTTTTAGGGATATTTTAACATACCGATGTTACATTTTATTTTCTGTTACAGATGATTAGGAATGCTTTACTTTTTTTGGAACACAGTAGAATCTTTATGTTACGAGTTTTCAACTTCCCCATATAAATCAGTAAGAATTTTCCAAATCTTGGAGTAATAAAATTTTACTTCTTATGAATTTTGGCTTCCGTTACAAATCATTAGGAATCTTTATTTTGACATAATAATTCCTTGGTTTTAACAATTTCTTGGTTTTCCTTCAAAATCACTGAACCTACTAGTGTTTCCATTTCTGGAACACTAGCAATATTTGGTAAATTGTATTCTACCTGCGTATGAGTATGAGAACTGGCTTTTGCAGTTCAAACAGATATGACCCGAAGCTCTGTATGATGTAAATATAAAGATTGGAGGCAATCGTTTGCAAGGCACACCGCATAGGGGTGTAACGAAATTAAAGCACTTTCATTTCCTGAATATTGTGGTCATGTGAGCTGTCCCCAGCAGCAAATATAAGCAGAAAGTTAAGATTCATTTGGAGCATAACAGATCTATGTGTATCTTGAGGTATAACTAAAATACGAAGGAAGAATATTCACTCGTAGTTAACACATACTCATGTTTATCTCCTTAACTACAAAATGTCAATTCATTTTCTCACATTAACTGTATTTTTCTTCTGTGTAAGTAACTAAGGGAACGGCCATTCAGAATTAATAGAAACTTTCTTCTTTGTTATATAAGATTTTGGTTTATTAAATTCCTGTACTTTCTCCCGTAATCCTTTTCACCCCTACATGTAATCGAGTGATTCGTCGAGGCCGACGTTTAACGGTATCTCTCACTAATAACACGTATGAATCATTGCTCGTATACCCTCACCTTTTTACACAACAAAGTACACTTCACATATCCGCAGCAAATATTTTATATACCCACATAATAGACACACTACTCGGAGACAACAGACTCATCACTCATTTATAATATCCTAGATAATTGCCTTACAGACGAAAATGGAGAGGTTCCCAGGGCACAGCTATTTGCTTTTTTAGTTCACTCACAATGTGTTTCGTCTCAAAGAGGCCATCATCAGGCAGTACGTTAGAAATATTCAAGTGATAACGGAATTTTGTAACACTACAATGCTAATGTAAATTTTAAATTTTTTTATTTGAATTACGTCGGATTCGACTTAAGACCCTATACACATTACATTTTAATGAGGATATATTCTAGTTTCCTGTTGCACATTGTGTACAGTGTTTGTTTTAAATTGGTTTAAAAACTCATTGTGTATGTGTAGTTCTAAAGAAGCTTTGCCTATAAGGTGGAATATAAGAGATGTTTCCTAATTAATTACATTTTAAAAAAATGAATAGATATAACTGTATTCAAATTAAAAAAAAATACGTTAACCAACCGGTTAATGCTGATGGAGAAACGATCGCTGTTTTCTATGTCTATCTATCTGTATGCCTGTTGCTCCCAGATGGAGCATAGGGCCTACGTAAAAAGCTTCGTTTCGCTTCAGCGTCTTAATCTGGACACAGTCAGTAGAACAGCTTGGACAGGAGAGCAGCCCGTCGCAAGGCCGCTACCTACACGCAGAATATCACAAACACCCATGCCTTGAGTGGGATTCGAACCCACGATCCCAGCGTTCGAGCGAGAGAAGACAGTTCGAGTCTAGACCGCGCGGGCACTGTGATCGACAGTCACCGCATTAAACAACATTAAATCCCTAAATACACCCTGTGGGCAAAATTCAGATTTTTATTAATGTTAAATGAGATAGTATTTATATTAACCACTATGTTTCAGATGTTTATTTCAGTCATATTGTTCTTTTCTTTCGTCACATTCTACTAAATTTTGTAGGATTAAGAAAGGCATTGTTGACTTGTGACTGTTTTGAATTTAACGCTTAACAGAATTTGAATTTCACTCTGAGGGCCGAAAGTATTTCAAGAAGAGAACAGAAATACCTTTCCGCCCCCCGTTTCGCCGAGGAGTGTGAGCATAGTGCCATGTCAGGTTCGTGCATTTCCTGAAGTTGACAGAGATCAGAATGAAATTACCGTTGTAACGTGAACGGAGTTTATCGCCAACCGATCTTCATTCCGTGCGTTATTTAACAACGCTTATTCAGCTACATTTTAAAGAAATTAATATGTGATTTTCGGATTATATAAATTCCACCAATGAAGCGCCCCTTCGGGGTTCCAGTTTTCTGGTGTGATCGTCCCCCAGCGAGACGTAGGAGGCGACGAAAAGGGAACTCAGTGACTGGGGGTATACCTGGGCCACCATGCCCCTGGAGGATTAAAATATAATGAACTGGCCCACCAGATTCGGGGGTGGGGGGGTGGAAGGGTCTAAAATCTGAGACCGTCAAATATGATCATGAGTCCAGCGATACTTGGACCAGAGAATGACTGTGCTGGCTAGGACCAATAGAGCTGTGGGCGAGACACCTATCATCTCGTCAGAGAGGGCGCCCACGTCGAAGGAACCGCAACTGTCTGACAGTAACAAAGGTCTGGTTTCCCAGATGGGGCTTGACACTAAGACAAACTGGCCTACTGACCGTCGGTCGTAAGATAACTTTGACTCGTCAGTCTTGAAAGGATTAATATAAATCAGATTTGGTAGGTCTTCATGCCTATTCACTGAATGCTCGCATTTATAAATTAGATTCCAGACTTTTCTCACCTGGAGGCTACAGCACTGGAACACTGTACGGAATGCAGAGTTGTGTGACAGATCGGGGCGATAGTTCGCACTTAACATGTGTTGAAAATTAATGACAGTATAGTTATGCGGCATTAAATCTCAATTAATTACAGTCTCGCAGTCCAACAGACCATGTACGTCACGGCCCGTCATTCACAATGAAAACACAGCGGTGTAATACATTGGCGAGTAACGTCCCATCTTTCAGCAAGATTCGACACAACGGCCCAATAAAATATAGCCATAACAGTATTTCTCAATTTTGTCATATCTACAGGGCGAGGCGATTAAGAGTTCTGCTAAACCGTTACATATTACCAGCTGAAGATGTGTATAAAATAATATGACATATCAACGAATTGGCAGGCAGCGGCTCTATGAACACCCCGCGATACGCGCACGTAACAGTAGGACGAATTTTTATAGCTCGTTGCTACGCATCAGTCAGCGCGCCAATGGACTGGCGGTATAGCTATCACGTGACTTGTTTTCAGTGTAGTCCGCGACATGCCCAGTGCTAAGCAACAGAACTGTAAACTTGTCTACAATAATAGGTTTCTTCTGTGGGGTCCGTGTCGAAGGTTTA